GTGTAACCATTCCACCGCAACCCAAGCGTGAACCTTTGGAATGCCATCTGCAATGAAAAGTAATACAAGTTACTAACATAACATCACAAAGGACAATGAAAAGTAATTAAGTTACTAACATAAAATCACAAATGACAATGAAAAGTAATTAAGTTACTAACATAAAATCACAAATGACAATGAAAAGTAATTAAGTTACTAACATAAAATCACAAAGGACAATGAAAAGTAATTACGAAACAAACTTACGAATTAACGTTAATCGCAAAAACTAAATAATTTAAAGCTGAAATTTTAATATTGAAGAGGAGGAGGTGTGAAGAATTGAGTTCTCTCAAACCGCCTTTTATAGGCAAATTTTGCAGCAACACCGCTGGGGGGAGCGGTTTTAGATCTGCCATGCAGCCCTACTAGCCCTACCCCCTGCATGCTGACATGTCTGACATGTTGGCTGTCGGGTGACCAGGCACAAACCGCGCCTTGGGGCAGCGGTTTATGTCCTGACATTGTAAACCGCCGCTTGGGGAGGCGGTTTGTAATGCCGACAGTTAAACGCTCCCTCTTGAAGCGTTTTGTGGTAGGGTTAGCCTATAACCGCGCCTTCCAGAAGCGTTTTTTTCTGGAAATTAAAAACGCTGCCTGGAGGTGCGGTTATAATGTAAAACGCTGCCTGGAGGCGCGGTTTTATTAAAAACCGCTCATTAGAGGCGCGGTTTTATATAAACGATGGTATTTTTGGAAATTATTTGGAGTGGGTGGTATTTTTGTAATTTTTTTTAAACAGTGGTAGTTTTGGATTTTTTCCAATTAATTCGGTACCAAAACTGGTCCTTGTCCCGCTGAGTCAAATGTATAATACGCACACCGTCTATATTCCATTATATCTCAACATTTATATTTGTTTAATTTTATATTTTGGTGGTAGAGTTACTTGTGTTTAGACCTTAGGGAAGCTGTTTCATGGTGGGTAGGAGGGGTGGACACGTAGGTGGTTAATTCGCGGATTGATATCGATCCATCCGCTAATAATTCGACCCGCACGTAGTAGGTGATTGATGTGAGTGGATTGCGGATTGATAAATCTCTCATCCGCAATTATGTGGGTGGTCGGTGGATGGATTGTGGGTCACCTGTATGACCCGCATCCTATTTCTTATAGTATCGAATATTCGTCTTATTTTCGAATGGTACTACAGTCTCATCATATACTTCAAAAGGTGGAGAATAATGAATAGTTTTTACTACTATTATTGGTTATTGTGTTGTGTAATATAAATTAGATTATGTATATTGGTATGCAAAATATTGTTAATATCCATTACATATTGGGATGCAAAATATAAAATATTAATTGTATCAAATCACAAATTAATGATATAGTCTTACTAATTTGTTATGAACTTGTTGTAAATGTTGGTAAACTTTCTTAATGGCTAGTTGGAGAATTGCTTTTGCGGGTTGACCCGCGATATAACCGCACTCATCCGCACCCACTCAACCCAACCCGCAGAAGAACGTGGGTGGATTGCGAGTCACAATTATTCCAACTCGCTGGTAAGCGGGTGGGTCAATTTGAGCCTAAAATCCGCCAACCCGCCCATTGCCCACCCCTAGTGTGTGGGACAAGGCTTTTCGAGGATGACATTTGAGGGGGATGCCCAGGTGGTCATTGACAAAATCCTCCGTGTGGATGCAAGAGACAGTAGGATCGGTTCTATTCTTGAGGAGGTCATCCAGTATTTTACAATGAATGGGGATTAAGTGTACGATTTGTAGGGCGGGGTAACAATAGGGTAGCTCATTTGGTGGCTAGGAAGGCCCTTTCTTTGTACCCGACTGCATGTTGTTTCTTTGATTTTCAGGCCTGGCTGAATTCCAAGATGTAACTACCTATTTTTCCAATCAATATATGATTATCTTTTGTGAAAAAAATATTTTGGTAAATATTTATTTAATATTAAGGCATAGTTTATGTTGTTTGTTAACAAATATTTAGATGAGTTACTTTTGAATGAGTCATATGTAAACGTTTTACACTTATTTATAATACGTTTCATTATTTTTTTCTTTTCTTTTTGATAACCACCTATGTAAACAACATCAATTTTCAGTATTTTGGAAAACCTTCAAGTTAAACTGTAATACACACAATAGATCGCCAAAGTTTGATAATGGATCGTATACCATTTTACTAACAGGCATCACATTAGTTCTGACATGGGATCATACAAGATAATGGTATTGCGGTGTTGGGTGTAAAATTCAAATCCACACATTTTCTTATTATCAAGAAGCTTATGGATAATGAATTGTGGTTCGTTTTCTAATCTCTTCCAACAAAATGACCCGATCCACCCCCGGATCTGACCCGATCCACCCGCAAAATGACCCAATCCGCAGGAGTAGGGATGGCAATGGGTAGGGTCGGGTGCGGGTTTACCCTATACCAACTCCTAACCCGTCGGGTAGAGCCTCCTAAAATACCCGACCAAATAACCGGGTATGAAAATTATATAACCATACCCTACCCACCGGGTAACCATGGGTATTCGGGTAACCATGGTTACGAATCATAAAATATGAACTTATAGACATATATGCACATACATACTGTTGTCCATTAAAAATTCTCAATACTTGTAACTGTTCTAGCTTCAACAATCCACACAAATAAAAACAGCAAACAAATAATAATTGTTCTTGCTTCTACAATCCACACAAACAAAAACACAATACATCATATTTGTTCTAGCTTCAACAATCCACACATAAACAAAAATAGCAAAGACAATAAGTCTTGGTTCTTCGGCACACATATTTTGAGAAGAGCAAAAACATTAAGTTTCCTTGGGAATATTGCATCTTGTCTCTCCTCTATATGCCCAACATTAGTTCCCTTCTACAACGATATAAAAAGACAGTAAGCATATAAAACAGAGGAAACACAACTTACATGAACATTTAATGGAGTATAGAGATTGTCGGTAACACTCGAAACATCGTCTTCATCTTCATCATCAATAATGGCAGCTAAACTCAATTTCTCAAGTGAACTCAGATCATCTACAAGAAAGAAGACACGCCACAAGTTAGCTAACAATTTCATATTGTATAAACAACATATGAAAGATAGGAAAGACCTATCAGTATACCTGGGACATTAGCATTAAACAACCAGTTTTGTGCACACATCAAAGCTTCAACGGTCTCCGGGAGAAGTCTACTACGACAAGGGCTAACTAGCCTTCCACCCAAGCTAAAAGCAGACTCATAAGACACTGTAGTGACCGGAATAACAAGTATATTTCTAGCAATCAATGCCAGAGTAGGATACTTCGAAGCATTTGCCTTCCACCACAACAATATATCAAACCCTGTTGTTTTAGGCAAACCCCTTTCTCTAAGATAACCATCTAACTCAGTTTCAACTTCTTCTTGACTAGCCTGCAATGAAGCCACATACCTATCGTAGCCTGACATTTTCGCTCCACTTTGACTACTCAAGATTACACTTTCAGTCACACTCACATTATTACCCAATTCACATTTGAACGATTCTTATATTCCTTCTCTAAATCCATAATCAATTTCCGGGAAACCTCGATTTTACCGCTTGCTTCCTCACCATAGATGTTAAGAAAGTTGCATTCGAAAAAAGTAAACTTGTACCTTAGATCAAAGACAACAACTATAGCCAAAACATCATGGATAGAACCCCAATACTTCTCAAACTTTGTCATCATACTCGCTGCCATATCTATAATGAAGAGATCATCATCAAACAACCAATATGAAATTCCCACTTTAATGTCACATACTTTTTCAAAGAACAAGTTAGAAGTTGGATATTTTGACCCTGAAAATAGCTCGGTCATTTCATAAAACACCTCCAGTTTATCATAGACTTTCTTTGCAAACCTCCAATCTGACTCTGAAGGCAAACTCTCATACAGTGGCTCTCTTAGTTTCAACCGAGGAAAAACAACTTAGTAACTCAATGCAATAGTAAGCATAAGATATGTAGAGTTCCATCGAGTTGGACAATCTAAACTTAATGCTCTTACATAACAAATCCCTGCGTTCTTAGCAAGTAGCTCAAATTTTTCTTTCCTTTTGGGGTTGTTGTCCAAAATTGAACACTTTCACGAATGCCCTCTATGCTTTTCTTTATAACCTCTAAACCATCCTTAAAAATTAAGTTGAGAATATGAGCACAACAACGTATGTGGAGCTTAGAACTAGACCACATCAAATGCTCACTGCTTAACTTATGCTTCATGACATCCATCAAGGCATCATTAGTAGAACAACTATCCAAGGTAATCGTAGATACCTTTGTGTCAATATCCCAAGAAAGTAAAGTGTCAAGAAGATCCTGAGCAAGCTTCTCACTTGTGTGTGGGCAAGGAACATTAACAAACCTACAATACATAAAACAATAACAAGAAAAAGATTAGTGACATATGTCATTACTTGAAAACATGCAGAATTTAATGAAGAGAAGAATAAACCTTAGAATATAGTTTCGAATGTTCCATCCATCATCAATAAAGTGGGTTGTCACCACCATAAATCCGTTCTTCTGATTACTTGATATCCACATGTCACTAGTAATTGCTATTCGACTCTTAGTGTCATCTATGAGTCTCTTCAACTCTTACTTTTCATGGAGATGTATCTTCAAGATGTCACTCTTGTCCGTATTTCTCGAAGGGCAGTTAAAGAGGGGTTGTAGTACATATACAAATTGTCGAAAACCAACATGTTCGACGATGCAAAGAGGATATTCATGCAAAATAGTCATAGATGCCAAAGCCTTCCTCCCTTCATCCTGACTATCAAATCTTTGAGAGTGAGCTTTACTAAGATCTCCATTTAAATGCTTAGTCATGAGCATTTGTCTTGTGTCTTTAATTTTTCTTTTGGGACACCTGAGGACATGTTCTTTCAAATGACTTGTCCCATTATTTGAAGCAGCATTGAGAGATTTTGAACATAGATTACACAACTTTTATATCTCCATTCGCCTTCAAAATTCGTTTAAAATGTTTCCAAACATCAATCTTCAGTTTTCTTGTATCAAGTACCTCATCATTACCAGTAGCAGGAGGAGCATCAGTTGCAGGTGGTGGTGGTGGACTCTCCACTCCAACCGTAGTAGCAGGAGTACCACTAGAATTAGGAGTCTCTGAGCGAGCATTTGTTGAAAAATTGCTCTCAACACCTACGACTATGGGAGGATTTCCACAAGGAGATTCATTTGACGAACTCATTGTTCCACCTACAAAACATGACGGATCAATTAGGGGAAAGACACAGCCATAGTGAACACAAGTGAACAAATCGTATAATAAACAACATAAACGATTCACAAACCCTAAGTAAACCTATAATTCCACGAAGTTGGGCCTAAAACTAAATCTAATTTGAATCAATCCATGCAAAAAATTACCTTTTGCAGCCGCAGTGGGGGAAGGTACAACATTGCAGGGAAAGCTGCTTGGCGACAACTACGAGTCGCGAACGACGGGAACAAGAGAGAGCAGAGTAGGTCGTGCAAAGAGATGCTGGCTAGAACCGAGGGAGATCCTGGCGAGTCGCGCGCGACCAGGGAGTAGCAGGGGAACAACACGCGAAGGGGGAAGCATGGGAGAGGCGGTCGGCGCTGTTGGGACGAGGCGGCCGACGGGGCTCTTCTCAAACAACGCACGAACGGAGGGAAGTAGGGGGAGGCGGTCGGAGTGTGGGCGTTGACTAGTGATTCAGGGGAACTGTAGACACCAATTTTTGTCCGGGTTAAAGTATTCAATTAAACAAAATTTAATTTTTGTTTAAGATTTACAATAGTGAATCTTAAATTACCTTATAGCTACTAACATAAAACGTATTTATAGTGGTTGGAACACGTCATGTTTTTCATAACTTAACGAGATTAGAAATAGCAAATCTTATTTTGTACAATTCGGATCAATGAGATTAGCAATGGCAAATCTTAGTTTGTACAATTTGAAAGTGATGACATGCTTGGGTCACACAAATTAACAGCCACTCAATTTAGTTATCGGTGGATTTAGCTTTAAGACTAATGGTCCTGTGAGGATGCGGCTTTGATTTTCGAACAATAAATGAATCAAGCACAAGTATTAATATTTTACTAAAATGAATCACAATAACAATAATTACAATAACTAAAACGCAATTACAATTTAAAAAAACAACACACAAAAGGAAAAGGCCAAGTCAATTGATCAGATCCGGTCAACAGAGTCAATTGATTAGATCCGGTCAACAAAGTCAAAGCCCAAACCCATGTCCAAGGTCAACTAAAGTCAACTATTGGTCAAACATTTAATCAAACCAATCAATATGACCAAACCGGTCAAAAATCAGGTCTGACCAAACCGGTTCAACCCAACTCAGACACTGTTGCAAACTTGGTGAACAAGTTGACTTTTCCTATAAAAAAGGAGATGTACTAATTAACGCCCTAACTTTTTAAATTTATCGCCCTAACTTAGATAAGTTGACGTTTTTACCCCAAAATATCCAGTAAAAAAGAACTCACGGATTGGAAAAGGGGGAGTTTTTTTCGGCCTTCCTCTTTGTTTCATCACACACTAGGCAGATAGAAAAAAAAAGAGGAAAGGAGGGACAGAAAACAAAGCAAAAAACAGGGGACTTCCTACTTCGAGCTTCTTCCCTTCTCCTTCCCCAAGCTTCCTGCCAGGGGACACTTCACGGCCAACTCCTTTCTTCCTTTTCTACTTCTTCCTTCCTTGACAGACCTCTTCTCCTGCAAGATACACACTTTCCAAAAAACCACAACTCCCTTTCCTATTCCTCACAAAAACAAACACACACAGACAGAGAGATAGAGGAAACTTCTCTACCGCCTTTTCCTTCTTCGAGCCACATACAACCCACAAACTAGCAGTCAAAAAATATAAAAGAAATAACAACCACCACCAGAAAACTCAAGAAAAGAAATTTTCAGGACTATAAACCACCACTAGCGAATCAAACCCAGTTAAGAAACGACCCAGAGAAACAAAAGCTTACCAGAACAAAGTTCACTTATCTTGTCTTTGTCGCCGCCGGAGAAGCTCAGAGTTGCCGTTGTTGACCCTCTTTCCTTCCTTCGTCCTTTCCTCGTCCCCCTTTCACCAAAACCCGAAAAAGGGCCGAAATCAGAATCCAATCGAAGAGTAATAAACCAAAAATTAAAAGGAGGGGTCGAAACCCTCACCCGTCACTGCCAGGCCTTTGTCGTCGGCCACCTTATCTCCTTCGTCCAATCACAAATCACAAGCCACCAACTGACGATATTAAGTCGTCTCCGTTGCCGGGAGTGAAAAGTCGGCGCCTACTCCATCTCCTCCTTCCTTTCCCACTCACCTCCATCGAAAATCCAGGAAATTTATTCAAAACCCCCAAACCTAGCAAAATAGAACCTTAAAATCAACATGCAACCTATTAAAGAAAGCTTACTTTCGTCGTTGTCTTCGCCGGCGACCATCTGGTTACAGTCGCCGTCGATCTGCCTGTTGTCGGGCCCTCTACTCGTCTCGACAAAGAGGAGGAGAGATAGTGTTTTGGGTGAGACGAGAAAGAGAGCAAGTCGGAGATAGGATCGGGAGGGAGAAACAGAAGGAAGAGCAAATTGAGATTTGGTTTGTCTGGATTTTCTTACTTCATTTCGGTTTTGCCATGGGAGAAGAGAGGAGCGGCGGAAATGAGCTAGGGTTAGGGTTACTAACCACAATTATATCCACTGCCCGCTAAAACGACCCCGACGTCGTCGTTTGACGCGTTTACCACCAAAACGACCCGAGAGATTCCGAACTGCAAATAAAAAATAAATCCTTTCCTAGGATCAAACCATCGACCTGACAGTCAAGTTCATTTTTCAGTCAACAATTTAAACCACTAGGCTGGTCGCCTACCAATTGTGCAATTATTAATCTCAGTTCATTTTAAGTTAAATAACCATAATACGCAACTTAAACACGTTGATTTCCTTTGTATATCTCGAGGATCAATAAACCTCTAATACTTTCTATAAAAAAATAAACCTCTAATACTGATTTCTATAAGAATCATTAACTTCATTTGAAATAATTGCCTGTATACGTATGTTTCTTTTCTAAAAATCCTTAATACGAAAAGACATGCTCACTAGAACGTGAGATCGTGTAACCGATAAATAATTAAGTCAACACACTAAAATTATCTTCAAAGAAGAAATGCAATATCTAAACTTACACGATCAATAGAACGTGTAAAGTTTTCTCTTTTCAAAACCTGATCAAAACCATCGAACTACGTGGACTTTGATCCCGACTACTCGGGTACGTAGGCAACCAATAGGTTTGAGTCCAACTAATCAAAAATATTTTCTTTACTTATGAGATTTTGCATCAATAGATGTATGATCAAATATCAATAATTATTCAACGAAAAAAATATCAATAATTAACACCTAATTATTGAATCACATAATTAAATAGGTAAATGAGGCGCAAATTATGAATACACCCAACCTTAAAAACTTATCGATTTAAGTAGTACCAATTTTGGGCGTTGTGGGGTGTGAATACACTTCCCCACACGTAAACGTACTCCCGAACCCAAATCTCTAAAATTTTCGCAGACCACATATTGGTTTCGACCCTAAGGTCGTGACCAAACCAAAAGGTGTTTGATCCACCAGAAATAAGGTCGATGGCGACTCCGAGCAATTCGCGACGGGTCCTCTGATCTCTTTCGATTTCGAGGGGCGGTTGCGACAGTGGGGACTCTGCTGGGGATCAAAAGAGTGTCAAACTACATTAACAATCGATAAGCATTTTCTTACTTTCTTAAAAGGGTGTTATACGTTTACTATATCAATTTGCGCTTTTAATTTATGATGTGTTCAATTTATTGCATACATGCTTAGAGCTCTATACACGAGCCGTCCTTGTAGGAAAAAGGAAGGAAGTAGTGTGACTCCTACAATAGTAGGGGAAATACGAAACTTCTCAACCAAGTTGAACTCAAATTCGGGGATTATTTGAGGTATCACGCTAAACTCGAAAGTGTCATAGTGTGGTACAACTTGGGAGCCTAATTCCTAAAGATCCGTACCCGACATATAGTTTTCTTAGAAACTACCTAAACCGCAAACTTATCCCAGAGCCTACCCAAAAACCTATGTTATGCTGCCAAAAAACCCTAGGTTTACCTCAATAATTCAAAAGTTTATGAAAGATTTTATATTATGATAAGTTCACAACTTACTTATGTCGGGTAATGTGTGTTTTTTTTCTTTCAATTATTCGTGAATGATATAATTTAATTATATGTGTGAAGGAATTTTAAACTCATTACGCCATCATTTCCTCATTCATTCACATTAATCATTCTAAATTTATTTTTATAAAATAGACATGCATCCACCGAAAATCATTTCACATTTACATCATTACCATAAGCATCAATCTCGCATATACATCTCATTTAGTCGCATGACACAATTTAACATTAATAATCATAATCAAGGATTTTCTAAAGTTGCTCATCCACAAAAACAAGTCAACCCATTGATTACATAACCAGATCCAAGGTTGAGCCTAGTATGGAGTCAATCCATAAGGAATTGGAAGACATCAAAAGAAGGGTGATGGGACTCGAAGGCATGAAAGAAGAAGTTAGCATGATCTTGAGCATATTGACCAACAATGGGAAGGCACTAGAAATCAAAGAAGATGATGTGTCATCTGAAGGCAAAAACTGATACCAACAACACGACAAAGTGGAAATTTTAGAAGACTCCAAAAATCATGGCAAACTTGGAGATGAGAGAGAGAGAGAGATCTTCATTCAAGGTGAACCATCAAAAGGAAGAAAATGGAGTCACTCACCTCAAAACAATCAAGCTCACTCATATGCCACAAACAATATACCGACAATGCAACAACCAAACTTCACCCCACAACTAGGGATCCAAATTCCATTGTTCGAGACCCCACAACCCAATAAACAAAACCAAAACTGTGGTGGGAGATGCAGAAAAACCATTCAACTTAATCCCATTGCATATACCGAGCTTTTTCCACAACTAGTCCAAAGGCATTTGATTGCTCCTATACCATGCCAACAAATACAACCTCCTTACCCAATTTGGTATAAGCTAGAGCAACATTGTGACTAACACTCTGGAGTAGCGGGACACTCCACCGAGGATTGTAGGAGACTGAAGATAAAGGTGCAACAGATGGTGAATTTTGGTTGG